GCAGGTGGGCCAGTCAAGCCCATCTATGACCTACAGCAGAAAAGCAAGGGAGGCAGAAGCATCTGGCTAGCAAAACAGATGGTAAAAAGAATAGATGCAGGCTGCCATAGGCACAGGGATGCCCTTAATCAGATGACAACACAGATCTGATGTACCACTTGGAGTAGTTTGAGTTGATGGCCCCAGACTCAGGCAGAAGTTGTGCAGCCTCTGAAATCTCCAGAGCCTGGACCATGAGAGGGAGTTAATAGGGCCCCTGGCCGGTTTCCACGTGGTTTGGGGCTCTGTCGCTGCTTCTCAGAGGGTGGGCCCCTGGAGGCCAGGTGTCCTGTGCATGCTAGGCTGCCTGCCTCCGAGATTCCTGTTGCTGTACCTGTGTATTCTGCAGGGCACTGCGGGGGGCCAGTGGGGGCCCAGGGGGCTGGGGGGCTGAGAGCAGCCGAGAGACCTGGTGATGTACGCCTGGGTTCTGCAGGGCTAGCAAGCAGTGCTGTGGGAAGGCGAGGCAGCAGGAGGTATGAGGGTGAGTCCTGGGGGGCTGGGGACCCAGGGCAGCCTAGAGCACTGTCATCGGAAGGAACGGGGCTGGGGCAGCGGCCTTCTCCGGGTAAGTACCGAATGCATTTCTTTTTCCTCCTAGGAATAGTGAAGAGAGTTATCTGTAAACAGAGGGTGAATTCATAGTCATACACCACAACCAAAAAATGCTGTTCTTGCACAGGCCTACCCTACTTCTTGTCCCCTCCCCAAGGCTTGGGTGATGGGCCTATGTCTTCAGACCTGAGTGGGCACTGCAACTTCTGGGCCTGGCCCAGATCTGGGAAAGGTGCAGTTCCCAGCACAGCCACAGGGTGGCACAGGGACCTTTTGTAGCTAGGCCTGTGGGCTACTTCCTATTTTCCAGGGGGAGCCACCTCCTAGTCTAGGCCTCTCTCTGCTTCACGTGTTTGTGGAGCTCATACCTGCATTTGGGCAAGGGGTTGCAGTGCTTGTGGTATCTTTAGGTTAAGGGCAGAGAAGGGAAAGAAGAAATGGACAGTGATTCTTAACCATTCTTACCATTTTAAGAGTTCTGGACCAGTTTGTCTGAGTAGCATGGAACAGATGGAATTAGGGCTTCCTCTGAGGACAGGGTTGCCTTCTATCATATATACATACATACACATGTTCCCCCAAATTCCTCTTTGCCCTCAGACAGGGAGTATGGAGGACACTCTGAGGGGCTGGGAAGTATTCCTTAAATCAGTGAACTGCCTAGAGTAGCCTCAGCCTGAACCTAAACTAGGCAACTTATAGCCACTTGGTACACTTTTTCACATACATAAGCATTTTTCTGTTGGTGAATCACACAGGTTTAATGTTTCAGGGCCTGAATATAGCATTATTCCTCTTTCCTACCTCTCCAGCCCTCTCGTCTCAGGTGCAAGGTGAAGCACGTGGCCTCTTGACATTGAGGTTATTCAGGGTATTCTCTACTGTAGTCACTTTGTTTTTCTTAGATTTAAGGGCTCAGGCAGGGACCCCAACTTTGGTTGGTGTTGGTGGGCCATGGAGTTGGTGGGCCATGAAGACTTTCAGCCCGGGAGCAGGGGCTTGGGCCATCTGAACAGTGTGAGATTTGTCTGCTAAGGACCGGCTAGGCCTGGTTAGCACCAGACCATCATTACCAGAGGACCCTAGGCACAAGAACTACCTTCTTGAGTCTGCCTTTTCTTCCCTTCTAAACATTGTTTCTCACCCTCCACCTAGATCCCAGTGATCTTCCCCACAAGCTATGTTCAGTGTTTGCTCGCATTCTTAGGAGGCATGGGCTCTCCAATCTGCAGGTATGCTACAGGGCGGGGGTGGGGGCAAGGAGGGCCGCAGGCCCAGCAGAACATGTTGCAGAGTGAGGGAAGCAGCTTGAAGCAAAGGGAGGATGGTGGTGGGGACAAACCCACCTGCACGGACCACACCAATCCGTCTGCTGGTTGAGGCCAAAGCGAGCACGGCATTTCTTAGGCGAGCCAGGGTCTGCTCACAGCCATGCCAGAGGGGCAGAGCAGGACAGAGGGCGAGCAGGCAGCAGGGCAGAGCAGGGCCCAGAAAGAAGAGGTAACATTAGTGTTAGCCAGTCACAGATATTCCATAGACCCCACAGGCAGAGGGCCTCTCCATGGCACAGCCCCAGTGGGAGCCCTAGGGCCTAGAGCCAGGGCATCAGGAAAGGTGGGCACCCAGCTGGGCAATAGAGGTAGTGGGAAGAATGGCGGGGGTGAGAATGGAGGGGACCCTATCAAGCTGGCTCCTTTCTGTGACTTGTGGGGCCCTTGGCACCATGGGAGCTGCAAGAGAAGAACCCACGGAGGCCCCTGGGCATCCAGCTTCTGCTGTCTTAGGGCTGCCTGTCCCCTCCCCAATTCCCTGCCATTTTATCCAGGATTTTTAAAAACATTTTTGCCAATGCCAGTATGCCTGACCCATGTCCTCTCATGTTGTATGTAGCCCAAGCCTATTCTGCACACTTTTCCAGATGGAACGGAAAGCTCTTTCTCCAACCTCAGAAAAAAGGCTGAAGACTCTGCCCTGCTCCAGTCCTAGCCTCCAGTTTCCCTGTGTGGGGTTAGCACAGTTGAGAAAGTCATTCATGAATGTGGATCAGAGTTGGAGCAGGAATTCACCTACAGGAAGGAGACTTGCAGCAGGGTGTGGGCTCCCTGGGTCTTCTACACAGAACACTTTGCACTGCCATGAAAAATGGGTAGGGGGTGACAGAAACAGCTGGGTGCCAGCCAGCAGGCAGTGTAACTGCTGGGCCTAGACGTAGGACTGGCTCAGCCTCAGCCCAGACAGCCTGCTGTCTTCCCTCAGAACTAAGCAGGATGCAGTGTTTGGGTTTAGCTTTGGATCATACACTCAGTTCCTAAGTTTCTCTGACAGGCTAGCTATGAGCAAGGCTAGCAAAGGCGGTGGGGGTGTGGTAGGTCTGCACACCACTCCTATGTCAATTGGCTTCTGTTGGTCTTCCTGGGAGTTAATATAGCTCCCAAGGGGGATTTGACTTGTGAGGTGCATAGAGGGCCCAGGCCCTGAAGGTTCACAGCTGCATACCCTGCCTTCCCTTTGGGCCAGAGCAGTGCTGTTTGTGAAATGGGGGTTTGGAAAGGAGTCTCCACTACTGCTGAGGGAAGGTCTCACCTGCATTAGATTCTTGGTGCTTTTCCCTGGACCGCCTCTTCTTCTTCCCCTGCAGTGAACAAAGAAGGGGTGGAGGGTGTGCTTGTAGCCCCAGTGAGTGAGTGGCTGGGACCCCTGAAGCCTGCTGCCTAACCTGGCTGCTGCTAGGATTCCAGGCACACAGTTGCCCCCTACTTGGGGGTCCTGGTATGGCGTTTTTATCTTTTACTGAAATTTTTAAAAATTATTTTCCAATTAGAGTTGACATACCATATTGGTCCTCGGGTTTGCTTGTATTTTTGCTAGGTAATCGTGAGGCATTTAGGGGCTCTTCCTCTCTTTTTCATGCTGGTCTCCAGTTTGAATGTGGCCCGATCAAATACTGGGCAACAGCCCTGTGTAGGACTGTGTCCTGGGTGAAAACAGGATGTGGGCCTGCCTTTAGGGGCAGCTCCCTTGCTTGGCCCTCTTCTAAGCCACTGAGGGCCTTGGACCTTCCACCCACCACTTTCTGTCCTCATCTGTACCTTCAGGAAAGTAGTTACGCTTTCCCTGCTGAGACTGTGGCCTGGGGCATGGCATCTTGAACCCCTAGCCCGTCCCTACTGTGTGGTGTTGGCCACTCACGTAGTTGTCCCGCGCCGACCAGCCTGGGTACAGCTGCATGTGCAGCTGCCTCTCCTTGCGGGCCAGCTCATAATACTTCGCTTGCTCTTCTCGGGACAGCGCGTGCCACTGCAAATGGGACAGAGGGGCAGATGGGTGTGTCGGGGTCAGCAGGCTGCACCAGGGTGAAGGTAGTCAAGCTACCCCTGCCAGCCCCCCTGCCCGTGGTGGCCTCACCCTGCGGCCCAGAATCTGGTTGATGGCAGCACTCTCCTTGAGTGTACACTCTGCAATGACCTTGGCTCTCATCTCCTTCATGTACAGCATAAAGGCGTTGAGTGGCTTCTTGATGGTTGGCTTCTTGGCCTCTTTCTCTGCCTTGGATTCTGCCTGTGTCTTCCTGAGGGGCACATGTCCAGATCACTTGGGAGCACTCACTGCCCACCTACTGCTACCACTCTCCTCTAGTGTGTGTCCAGTGTTTATGTGCGAGTGTCTGGAGACTTGGGTTTTGTAACTGGAATCTCTCTTTTAGCTGTTCCAAAATGGGTGAGCAGAGTTAATTATTCCCTACAGGAATACTGTAGCTAAGAAAAGCATGTGTAAGGACTTCTCAGCCCCTCCTATTTTGGCTCAAACTAAATCCTTGTTCTCTACTCTCCACTCACTCCCTCCTGTTTCTGGGGATCAAAAAATAGTGGTCATTGGCAAGAGGGGTTTGACCAGAGGCCATCTGTAGAGCTTCAGGCAGCAGGCCTTGGGCCTGGTGGAAGGAATGTGTATCTTGGCTGACACAAATTGATGGGAGCCTATCCCTCTCCCTCCTCCCCACTGTGTGCCTTTTCACTCACAGGCTGCGATCATAGGGCTGCAGCTCCTGCTTCCCTGAGGGGGGCACAATGGCCGGGTGGGGGATGGCTGCAGGGTGACCAGGTACGCCAGAACCTAGCATCAGGGATGGGTGGGTGAACCTAGAGGTAGGAGGAGAGTTAACAGTGAGCCAAGTGTTGTATAGGCCAGCCCTTTGGACACACGGAGGCCCTGCACAGTACACAAGGACAGGTAAACAGACACCTCACCCCACTGGCCTGCATACGAGTACAGAGGTACACACAAATAACTGCTACCAACACATTATACACAGTACAAAAATCTACATATCATTCAGATAGTTATGAAGTCCTGAATAGCTTTTGAATCTGCCCTCTAGTCACCTCCTGCCTTCACCAGCTCATCCTCACGAGCCTGTGACCACCCTGCAGGCTTCCTTACTCTCCTGCTTGACTCCTCCAGGACACACTCCACACAACAGCCAGTAACCTTTTAAAAACACATGAGTGTTCCTTGCTGCTCCTGATATTCCCCCACTGCCCACAGCTCTGCATGACTGTCCCTTACTGACATTTCTAGCCCCATCTTTTCCCGTTTCCCATCACTTTCCACTTCAAGCCGTCCCCAACTACTGCTGTCCCCTTCACTCAGGAGACGTTACCTTTTTCATGAAGCTTTCCCTGGCCCATCAGATCTGGCTAGGGTTTCCTTGGGCCTTCCCCATTGCCCATATAGCCCCTTCAAATGCTGGTGATGTGTCTGTACCTCCTACAGGTATGAGGATATTGGGCTGTGAGCTCCACAGGGCTGTTAATGTCTGTTGAATTCCTTGTTCCATACCTAATGTGGTTCTGTCACTGAGGGGGTGAGCTAAGTGAAGGGACACACATATACATACACACCTCCCACTTTACTTTCTTGCTGTTCTATGGATACCACTCTGCCCCTTGCTGCTTACACAGGTGTGGGGCCCCCGAGCAGGCAGCCCCTAAGGGCTGGAGGTTGGAGACACATGTAAAAGGCGCTGCCTCAGCTTGGGTGGAGCTCAGGGAGTGCCCAGGAGAGTCGTCCTAACCGGCTTTTCCCTCAGCAGAACAGGTGAGTGCATACACACCTGCACACGGACTTACGCATGCTCAGAGGCAAGAGCACAAGCACACGTGTGCATACGCTGTCCCTGGCTGCTCTGTGCTGAGTGTGGCCTGGGCTTAGACCTTTTACGTTCTCACTGTCTTTATCTTCAAGCACAGGGCAGCAAGGGGCTGCAGAATGACAGACGGACGGATGGACAAACAACTAGCACAGGGCAAGCACTGGCCTGGGCATGGCCCTGTGTGGGCACTGAAGCCTGGGCAACAGGAAGCAGGAGCCTGGCTGCAGGGTAGGGGACTCACCTGGGGTAGGGGGCGCCAGGGGCTGCGGTGGGGGCAGGGAAGTGCTGTCTATATCCGCAGGAAGGGGACAGGGGGTAGAGAGGAGGGCTGGGCCTGTGGTTGGGAGAGACAGCTGTTAGCAGTCTGGCTACTGGCCAGATGTGGGGAAGGACTTGTCCAACATGCGTAGAGAGTAAGGCAAATTAAATCGGCGTCTGCTTGCACCATTCCTCTGTATGTTTTAAGTTTCTGCCACCAGAGGGCAACCTATGCTGCACCTATTTCCCTCCACAGGCTTGTACTGGTGCTTAAAGAGTAGAAATGGAAGCATTCTCCCAGGCCCCTAGCAGGCCCTAAAGTCCCCTCCAGCCTTGCCTCCTGAAATATACCTCGCTGTCGGTACAGGCTTGATACCTGCCACATAGGGCCTTTGCAATCACTGTTGACACTCTTGGGATTGTTCTGCCCTACTTTGCCTGCTTCAACTCCTGGTCGTCCTTCAGGGCTTGCTTGGCTAAATGACCCTTTCTCCTCAAAGCCCTTGAGATCTCAAGTGGATAAGGTGCCCCTCTGGGCTCCTGCAGCCCCAATCAAAGCACTGCTAACAGTGCTCTGTCATTGGCTGGCCTCTTGCCTGGGTTGCCCACTGGGCCAACTGAGTTCTGTAAGGGTGGGGACCTGAGGATCAGCCAGCTTTAATAGTGTTTCTCTCATACCCTGATCCCTGCCTGGCACATGTAAATCCTGGGGGTACACATAGGGATAATCTTGGTTTGTGTTCAGAGTGGAGCTTTGTCCAAGGAGAATTTAGAAATGGAGGGATGAACTGAACATGGATAAAAGGTAAGTGGAAAGGGGCAGGTGGGCCCTAGCATGGGTCTCTGGCCTGCCCCGTCTTCCTGGAAAGCCAAGCTTTGATGCTGCTGAGTGACTGCCCCGGCCAGAGGAGCTAGAGGCCTGCCTAGGTCATACTGCGATTGCTGAGCAAAGTGCTAAGTAGGTTGCCAAGGCCCAATTCCAGCAAAAGACAGGCCCTTTGGTTCAGTTGAGCATACTGACTTGCATAGAAGCCGCTTGAGGTCCGGGCTGGCTTTTCCTGGCCCAGCCTTAGTACACTTTCCAAGCAGATGGACCAGGGGCTTGGGCTCCACAGGGCAAGGAGAGATCCTGCCCCTCAAGCAGCTCTGCCAAGGAGGGGCCAGCCAGCAGTAGGCACTGAGGCTAGCGAGAAGTATTCCCTTGCCCACCAGGCAGCTGAGACACAACAGCCTTTTATGGCCATTCATGCTTTACCTCCATGCTCAGGCCTATCTTCATATACTCATGGCTCTGAGCAGCCCAAGGTTCTCTTAGACATTGAGGGCAGAGTGTGTCAGGGCTAGGACCAGGAGCCTAGTCTCCTGTCTTCCCAAAGGGAGTATGTCAGGATACTTGAGGGATGGAGCGAGCTGCTGACCTGCCCTGATACCTATACAGAGCTGGCAGCAAGATGCTCAGCATAGAATGGTGGAGGAAAATGGAAGGGCAGGTATAGGTTAAACCAGCACAAGGTGCCCCTTTCCCACTGGGCCCACACTCACCAGCTCACAGTGTGGGGGAGCTGTCCCATGCTGCCTGAGGTCAGAGAGTAGAAGCCAGAGAGGTCAGGGGTCTGCAGAGGCCTGTGAACTGCAGCAGAGAGGTGCAGAATAAGTGAACTAGCCTGACCCAGAGGCCACGGTAGCTAGTCGCTGCATCTTAGAGCCTCCTATGGGGGCCTCCAAGGTCCCACCCCCCTGTGCTAGAGGACCAGACATACTGCTTTGTTCAGGGCTATCCCAGTGTGATAACAGTGCCCTATTTACAGGCTAGAGAACCAAGGGCAGAGTGGTTGGATGACTAAGGACACTGGCTGGCCAGTGGCAGAGTTGGAGTCATTCAGGAATGGGAAGCCAGGCCTCCCCCCAACTTGGTCCACTGCTAGTCTGCAACTGGGGCCCGATCTTTGGGCAGGAGGCAGGCCCCCTAGTCTGGGGGAACCTGGCCTGTGGAGCCAGTATTCTGGCCCCCCCCTCGCCCCCCCGCTTTTGAGTCAGCAGGTTTCCCACAGTTGACAAAGGCTTATTTCAGAATGACTTTGCCTGAGGCTGAGGTGAATCAGCCATCAGAACCACCACTTTCCATTTTCTCACTGGGGGAGGGAAAGGCCATAAGTTTTATAGCTATCAGCTTTACACAGATTCTGGCTCCCATACTGGCTTTGGAAGGTCACTTAGAATTTAGGTTCCTACCTCAACATGAAGCCTTCAAAATTTGACCTGGCACTAATGCCCCCAGCCCTCTGGTCCCCTCAGGCCCCCCAGTCCATCTTTCTGGCACTTTTTTTTGGCAGGGGGCTGATTTTGCAGTTCCAGGTTCTCCAGCTATAAAAAGGGCCCAGCCACCAGGTCTCAGAAGCCAGGGATTTGGCCCCTAGGCTCTGGTCTCATTGGGCCCCACCCCGTCCCAGGTCTGTACCTTGTTTCTGGTTCATGTCAGCCGGTGCGGGTGTGGGGTGTGGGCTGCTGAAATGTTCATAGAGAGGAGAGAGTTGCGGGACGCCATGGGTGGGCTGACTGGCCTTGTTCTGAAAAACAAGGAGGGTGGGTGAATGTGGGGAGACCTGAGGGAGGAAGGCACAGGGCTTGGGGCATCCATTTGGCAGATCCCTACATAGCTAAGTGGGCAGCCCTACTGTCAAAAGAAAATGGGGTAGTCAAAACCATAGGTCTCACAGGAGGGGGCACCACTCAAGCCATCCTGTGTCCAGTGGTCCAACTCTCCTGCCCCTCGCAGCTTTGCCCAAGCAGTTCCATCTCGTAGACAGCCTCTCAAGTATTTCTGTGCACTCAATTCCAGAAGCACATCACCCCCATCCAGGAAGTTCTTCCTGCTTCCTAGTCGTAGCAATTCCAATTTGAGACCCTATGACTGTCAGCCTCTAGCCCCAGACATCAGGACATGGTCTAAGGACCTGTCTTACCCCAGAACAGCCTGGAGCTTCCTTTTCTCCAGTCTCCAGACTTGAGGTCCTGGGTCTGACCCCCTATCCTACCTCAGGCTTAACAGGATTTGTTGACACAAGGAGAGCCCCCCTCAGCCTTCTAACTGAGGAAGGTAAAGCCAGGTGGGGCCAACCTGCCCGGCCCCCACACTTCCTGTTTCCTCGGCACCACAGGACTCTTACTTTTCACACTAGTCACATGGATCTGTCATGAGATGACTCAGTCAGGCTGAGAAGGGGGCTCCCCATGCCACCCAGCCACAGGGAGTTGCTGCTCAGGGCCAAGGCTCAGCTCTGCATATCCTCAGGGCACACCTGCACAGACCAGGGCCCATAGAACTGAGGCTCAGCTTCCACTCAGAAAAGTCCATCTGTGGGGATGCTGCTGGCTGGGAGCAGAGATGAGTGACTTCTGACCCATGGCACAGAAGAAATGGGACATCTTTGGGGCAAGATAGTAACAACAGCTTGTGGCCTGGGCTCCTTTCCACCTATAGGTGAAATTTCCCACTGGGTGAATTTAGCCAGACCCCGTAACATCTCTAGGCTTCAGTTTCCTCTCGTGTAATGGCTACGGTTCACGATCCCTTATCACCAGGTTTGGGGAGCTCATGGTTAGAGGTCTGGCCCAGGTCCCTTGGCACTGGCTATTGGGGGTCCAGTGCTACAGAGAAGGCTGGGTATGAGCCTTAATGTAGCCAAGGTGTGAGGCTCCCAGGTGGGCACAGGCTCCAATACCTCCCAGCAATAGTCCTGGCCGCCATCTTTTCCACCTTGTCTTCAGGGGAGCTTGAGGCTGGACCCAAAACTGCACCCTTCCCCTCAGGGCTTGGAGGGAGTGCTGACATTGCCGCCTGTCAGTCTCCTCATCCATCTGCCCACAAGGCGCAACCTTACATACTAAAGATAATCAATCAGCCTTCCTTTTGTCCTTGGGTAGATAGTGGTGGCTCCTTTGCAGCTGGCATCAGTTGCACCACAGACCTCCTGAGCCCCTCTCCTGGCCTCCTGGGGCAAGGCAGAAGAGCTTCCCTCTGCCAGTCCAGGGAGAGCTCTCCACTGTGAACTTGAGGAGGACTGGGCCAACCATGTGTAGATCCTAGTTCCAACATATGTCGTCTTCATGACTTAAAATATCTGATCATCCATGACTTAAAATATCTGATCATTCATTTCTTTGTCAAAGAAATGGGTTGTGAGGACAAAGCCAGACAACAGCAAAGAGCTCAATTACTCAGGTGTCAGGTAATGAAGAAGGGACATGTAAGAAGCCCCTTATACACCCTAACGAGCCTTCACAGACATGGGGGAATACTGCTCACAGCACTTCCCTGGCCCTCTGGTGCCAGGCCTCACACTGTCCAGACACTTTGGCCTGATTATGCCAAAAGGGGGTTGCCTGGAGATGACAGGCATGCCTGGTAGGCCACTGACAGCATCAGCTGGGGACGCTGATGACGGCTGTCACCAGCGTCCATGCTGTCACCAGGCCTTGGGTTCTGTGACTTTCCTGTTACCATTCCAAGGCCAGGCTTCCTGAGCAAGCTGGACAGACTCATGTCACTCTCAGGCTTTTATTCTCAGACACAATTGTGACAGGTTGGGAGTGTGTGGGGGATGGAAGGTGGAATGTAGGATCCTCAGGCCTGCAGGTGGCTGGCCAGAGAGAAGAGTGGGCCAAGTTATAGCTGTGGGGTATGTGGGCTCATGTGAAATGCTTTGTATACTAGGTACCTGCCACGTGCCAGGCCCTGTGCCGAGTACTTTACAAGCCCAGTCTCATTCCCACCAGGGTGCCAACAGGCTGCCATTTCTCTCATCTGTAAATCCTCCCCCAGCTACCACCTCATGTCTCACTCCCTTTATTACAAACCTCAGCAAAGCTGTCCCCACTTACTGCCTCCACTTCTCAGCTCTCATCCTCCCTTCAACCTAATAGGCATCTTTTGCCCTATCACTTCACCAGATGACTCTTGTCAAAGATCCAATGACTTATATACTGCTGAACAAAATGGTTGTTGTTAATCTTCATTCATTTTACCTGACACCTAAGCGGCATTAGACACAACTGATTTCTCCCTCCTCCTCAGTTTCTTCATTTGGCTTCCGGAATGTCACAGTCCCTTGATTTTCCTCCAACCTAACAGGCTACTCCCTCTCAGCCTCATTTCTGTTTCCTCATCCTCTTCCTGACCCGAAGTTGGCCCTTGGCTCTCTACCCTTCTTCCCAGGGTGCACTCATCCAGGCCCATGGCTTTAAGCATCTTCATTGAATGACTCCACATTTATATCTCCAGCCCTCACTTCTCCTAAGGACTCTGCTCTCCCAATGCTTACTCAGAAACTCTACTCAGAGGTCTAAAATGCTACCCGAACTCAGCATGTCCAAAGCAGAACCTCTGACTTCCTGCCCCAAACGCTCCTCTCCCTCTTCCTCAGTTCATGGCAACTCCAGCCTTTCAAGTGGCTCAGACCAAATACCTTGGAGTCATCCTTGACTTTTCTTTTTCTCTTACGCCCCACATCCAATTGTCAGCAAATCCTCATGGCTCTACTTTGAAAATACATCTAGAATCCAACCATTTCCTCCTTCCTCCCCGTCCCTCAACTAGTCTAAGCCCGTCATGTCACTCCTCTGCCTACAGCTTCCAACAACAGCCTTACCTGGGCCTTCGAGCTCTCTCCACAACCAGGCCCCATTCCTCTCACCCCATTACCTTGCCTTCTCCTTGCTTACTACGCCCAGGACTTCCCATGGGTGTTTCAGCCTCCGGCCTCCTTCTCCAGTTACTCCAATGATAATTTTGAGTGTGTCATAATGTACATTGGGTTGGGAAGGCTAGTTCTAGGCTCCCTGACTCTTTGATTGACCTTTTCACTATAGGGTCCTGGGCCGATTTGCCCCCTTGTAAAATGAGGATGGGAACATTGGCCACGACTACCGCACTAGCCACAGATGCAAAAATCTTGCTATATTCCACAATTTGGGAGAACAGGAGCCGAGGGCCTATGAAGGTGAGAAGCTTCCTGGAAACCTCTAGGGCCCTTTCATCCTTTTTTTTTTTTTTTTACGCCTACAGCACCTGGTCTTCCTAGGTGGTCTCCCATCCAAGTACTAACCAGGCCCGACCCTGCTTGGCTTCCAAGATCAGACGAGATTGGGCATATTCAGGGTGGCATGGCCGTAGACTAGGGCCCTTTTATCCTGGTAAGTTCCCAAGACAGTGACAGTCAGGGAGACTGAGCCTCAGGGCCCACTCCCAGGACCCTGGTGGTAGGCATTCCACCACTTACCACCTGAGAGCACAAATACCTGGAGCCCCAGCCCAATAGGTGAATGAACACCCTCTACAGGTCCCTCCAGACCAGGGGACTTTCAAGTCTAAGCTCCTGCTTCAGGAAAGGCCCTGCCATCCAGCTCTGGCTCTTTGGCTCTCAGGGCTAAAAGGCTGGCTGCTAGGGTGACAGCTCTGACCCTGGGAAGTCTTAGGGGCAGAGTCTGGGGTCCAACATGCCAGCTCCAGAGTCCTGCTCTGCCCACAGTGAGGTAGCAGAGTGTTGGCTCAGCAAACCACCCTCCCTGAGGAGGGCTAGCTTTGGCCAGGAAGACCTGAGGGAGGACTAGAGCTGACCTTTCTTGGCCAGGCTGGTCAAGACCCAGGTTATAGCGCAACTCAGGTTAGGCCTAGGAAACGGCAGAATCCAGCTCAGCCTATAGCCTCCGGCCTGGTAGGTATGTGACAGGGGCAGTGGGGAGGGCCAGGGGGCGTTGCCTGGTGGACAAAGAACTCATCCTGTCTACCAGTCTTCCCTGGGAACTGGAGAAAAGCCTTATTAAATAGGAGTCCACAGCCAAACCAAAGGAGAGGTACCAGGTGGGCAGGGGTGGGACAGAGAGCCTGCTGGCAGTTGGAGGCCCTGAGGTGGCCAGGGCTCCAGGGTAGGGCACTGAAGGCCTGACTAGTCCTTCCCACGTTCATGCAGGCTGCCCTTCAGCCTTAGTCCTCAGCCCCCTCCAGGCCTAGTGGTGGCAGCCAGGAAGAACCGTCTGGCCCAGGGCCCAGCGCCCCACGCTCCCTTCAGCCAGTGGAACGTCCCGCTTCACAGCCTCAGCACAAGGCCATCCCAGAGGCAGGCTGCCCAGACAATGGGGTGGGGTGGCCCGAGGCTTGGTGTGTGCATGGGGAGCCCAGGGACAGGAGCTCCCCTCCTCTCCTCCCCCTGATGGTGACTGCCCAGCCTCCAAGGGAAGAAGGCCTGCGAGGGAAGAAGGCCTGCGTCAACTGTCCCCGCCAGGCCCTGAGCATCTTGATGGCACAACCTCATCTTTCTTACCTCTGAGGGCCAAGTGTCAAGCACAGAGCTGGACACTCAGTAAATGCCCACAGAATGGTGGAACATACAAACGAATGAAAGACTCAACAGCAGTCCACACTTCTTGATCAGGGCACTCCAGGACCCCTGTTCATTTCCTGCAGACTCCTCCCCCATGCCCCCTGACTGTGGCACTCCAGGATGGGTCCAGGATTGAGACCCTTGGGCTAGGAGGCTATGTCTGCTCCCATCCCAGCAGAGGCAGTCCG